CAAACGCAAATCCTGATGTCTATGTATTTTTGTACATAATCTTTGACTTTCTCATCATTTTGTTAGGTCTTAGATGTGAAAGTTCCAAGGCTCTGAATGCCCCCCAGAACACGTGTCAACCAGAGTCCTGCCGGCGCCCAAGGGAGTGCTCGCCACAACGCACGCCTCATTCTAGCAAAGGCTTTGTCAACCTGACCATCAAAACACCACATCTCACTGTTTCAGTGTATTCTAAAAATTAATAAGTAGGAAACGCTTTATGTACCTACGAGCAACTGTTACCTCTTATTCTGCGACATGCCTATTCGTGCTCTGTCCCCCACCTCCCGTTTTCAAATGGCGCCCCTCTAGGAGCCGTTTTTTTTTTTTTTTTTTTTTTTTTTTTTTTTTTTTTTTAAATGTTTTTTTATTTTTGGGACAGAGAGAGACAGAGCATGAACGGGGGAGGGGCAGAGAGAGAGGGAGACACAGAATCGGAAACAGGCTCCAGGCTCTGAGCCATCAGCCCAGAGCCCGACGCGGGGCTCGAACTCACGGACCGCGAGATCGTGACCTGGCTGAAGTCGGATGCCTAACCGACTGCGCCACCCAGGCGCCCCAAGGAGCCGTTTTTAATACAGTAACCCTCAGCTCACGTACCTGCACGGGGTCATTTTCCATGTTATCCACAGCTGGTCTCCACCCAGCTACCCAAGCTTCCTCTCCTAAATTCCTGCCTCTCATTCAACCGAGCGTGTGCCAGGCACTGTTCTAGGGGTTGGTGAGGCAACACTGAGCAAAAGTGAGACTCCTCTGCCCCGCGAAGCTCACGGTGTGCCGTGGAGGAGTGAGAGAGAAAAGTGAAAAATTACATGAAGTCACAGGACCTCCACTTCAAGCGAGGGAAGGACTGGAGCGGGACTCCACTTTTCTGTCGTAAACTGGAAGACAGGACAAGTAACATGAAACTGCTGTTTGCATACACCGGACAACAGGTGACACGGGACAGTGACTCCAGAGAGCAGGGAAACGAGGGAGGTGAGCTCTGTGTGCATCTGGCCTTCTGTCTGCAGGCACGCTGTGGACCACAGGGGAACCCAAGTAGAGCCTGGAGGCCACAGTGAGTTGAGACAGTGAAGCTGGTTTGGGAAGGCAGAGGCAGCTGGGATTTCTGGAGAGGAGTGAGCTGTATAGGAAAAAAGCTCCAGAAGGGCACCCAGTGTCCCCTTGAATCTTGGACTGACAACTGAGTGTGGATGGTGGCGTGAAATTACAGGACTGGCCACAGCGTAGAAGCCACGAGGCGCCAGAAGCAATGAACTGGGCAAGGCCAGAGCTCATGCACGGAAAGGACATGTTTGCGCCATCACCAACCAGAGGCAGAGACCTCGTTAAATGCCCAGGGCATTCACTAGAGACCCAAGAAGGGTCACAGCCTAGAAACGGGGCAGAGTAGCCTTAGAGGACAGGCTTCGTAGATTCACGCTGATAAAGCTGAAAGTGAGCCTCAAAAGGATCGGGTTCACTGTCTGCCAGATATACAGGCCAATACGCTTTAAAGGAAAGCAAAAAAAAAAAAAAAAAAAAAAAAAAAAATCCAGAGTCAATAACTTCACATCTTTTTAAAAACAGATTTTATTTTTAAGTAATCTCTATACCTAGTGTGGGGCTTGAACTCACAGTCCCGAGACCAAGAATTGCATGCTCTACTGACTGAGCCAGCCAGGTGCCCCAATAACTTAACATCCTAACGGCCAGCATCGAATACAAAAATGACCAGCCATGTGAAAGAGGAAGGCTTCAAGGGAAACGCAAACATTAAGGGGAGAAACAGAATCTATAAAAAGAGAACCAAACTTTTTTTAGAGTTGAAAAATATAACATCTGAGCTAAAAAACTGACTCCAAGAGCTTAACGGCATATGAACATTGCAGACGATCATGACCTTACAGACATAGGAACAGAAATCATATAAACGCAAGCACACAACATAAAAGCCAGTGACCCAGTGACCAAGCACTGGACAACATATGCATAATTGGAGTTTTAGGAAGAAACTGGGGGAAGGGGAGCAGAATAAATTTTGGAGGAAATTATTTTCAGAAGTTTGCTGCATCTGATTTTGAAAACTATAAATTCACAGATCCCCAAAGCTCAGCAGCACGTGACCTTCAAGTTGCAAGAAACAAAAGTGACGATAGAACATAAATAAGCAGCTGGAGGGAGACAGGGGTGCCTGGGGGGCTCAGTCGGTTGAACATCCGACTTCAGCTCAGGTTATGATCTCATGGTTTGTGGGTTCAAGCCCCATGTCGGGCTCTGTGCTGACAGCTCGGAGCCTGGAGCCTGCTTCGGATTCTGTGTCTCCCTCTCTCTGTCTGCCCCTCCCCCACTCACGCTGTCTGTCCCTCTCTCTCAAAAATAAACATTAAAAAAATTATATATAAAAAAAAAAAGCAGCTGGAGGGAGAGAGACATGTCACACAGAAGGGGCGAGAATGACTAACAATTTCTCATCAGGAACAGTGCAGGCTGGAGCACAATGGAACACGTATGAAGTGCTGTAGACAAACCCCCCAAACTGGCAAACTAGAATTGTAGAGCTGTAATCCCATACTTCAAAAATGAAAGCAAAATAAAGAGACTTTTCCAGACAGATCAAAGCTGAAACAATTGGTTTACAACAGGCTGCACAATAAAAAATTATTAAAATTCTTCAGGTGGAAGGGAAATGGCACAATGGAAACCACATAAAAGAATTAAAAAATGCCAGAAATGGTAAAATAAGTGGATTTTGTTATTAAATTTCCTTAAAAGATAACTGATACAGCAACATGTCACGGGGCTTAAATCTATGAAAAGTAAAACATAGGGCAATGTCAGCTGTTGCAGAGGAATGGAAGCACACTCCTGTAAGGGACTTACATTATTTGTGACGTGATATAGCATTTGAAGGCAGACTGTGATACATTGAAAATATATTTTGTGATTCCTAAAATACAGCATACAGATATAAGCAAATTACGTCAATAGTGAAAATAAAATAGACTACCAAAAATAATGTTTTTCTAATCCAAAAAGAAGGCAAGAAAAGAGAAAAAAAGGAACAAAGAACACATGGGACAAATAAAAACCGAATAGCAAGATGGCAGACCTAAACCCAACCATTGCACAAAGTGTAAGTGAATGTAATTGTACTAAACATGAGCAGGGTAAATACTGCCCTTAAAAGGCAGAGATGGTCAGACTGGATAAAAAAGCAAAAGCGATGTGCTGTCTACGAGAGACCTATTTTACCTATCATGAAGACAGAGGTTGAGTAAATGGATGGAGAAAGATACCCATGGAAACAGTAACAGGAGAAAGATAGAACGGCCAGGTTAACACGGAGAGGTAGAATTCAGGACGAGAACAAAGAGGGCAGCACGGAAAAGGGACATTCCATGTGATGAAAAGACAATACCTCAAGAAGACACTATGACCCTAAGTGTGTATGCAACCAATAAAAACCTTAAAGATACAAGGAGCAAAAGCCGGTGAACTGAACGGAGAAAGCAAACCCACGGTTATGTTTGGGATATTCCAACATCTTTCTCTCAGTAACTGGCAGGACAAGCAGAACATCAATAAACATAGGATTTGGGTGATTAAAATTTTATTAAGCCTGGCTTCCTATTTCTCTCTCAGAGCCCAGCTCATAGCTAAGCAAACCCTACATGTGATAGGAGCACAGCAGAGTTTGAGAGCTCCCAGTTTGCAACCTCCCTTCCTGAAATGCAACTCCTCAGTGGTAAAATGGCATAATACCGCCTGCTTCGCAGGGTTGCTATGATCAGCAGATCAGAAGAGGAAGCAGTCTGGACACCATCAGCACCGTAGGCTCTGCCTCATTGGACTGTCTTCATCTGCTTTGTGTGTTACAGGGCAGGGCACTATCCACCTTGCAGCAAGTGCCAGCCTGCCTGCCTGCCTTCCCGATGGCCAGGGTGCCCAGCTGGCCTCTACCTGTGGTCCCTTGGCAGGGCATGTAGAAGCAATCACACATTTCAGAAACACTGCTTCAGTATCAGCTGGTTTCCCAAACCTCCTGAAGGTTTTCCCACCTTTCTACTTCTGGTTCTGGTCTCCCCAGATTTGCTCTGGCACCACAACCTGACACGACCCAAGACCCAGCGCTATCGGTAAGGGGCAAAGGTCGTTTTCACAGCAGGCTACCTGTGTTGTCGGGAAACTTGGAGGAGTTTTTAAGATGACGTAAGCAGGGTCAGCAGCACGGCTGTGGAAGGAAGAGTCATGTCTCAGACTCCACGCACAGCCTGGTCAGCTGAGCACACCCAGGACAACGCTCGCTTCAAAGGATCTCAGGGTGAAACGTGTGCCACGATCCGTGCACGGGCCCCCAGCCCGGGGACAGGCAGAGCACACACGTCAGGAGAGCACGCCACAGAATCCCGACACTGCGGCCCTCAGCTCGGTGACCGTCGTGCAACGCTTTAGAGGAGTCAAGAAGTTAGGACCTGCGACGTGCTGCTTCTCTTCCTACTTCTTCCTCCCGGCTCTGGGATACCACTCCCCAACCCACACCTGTTGGCCTCAGAAAACACGAGGCACAGCCCGGGAGGACTGAGTGCAGAGAGCCTTCCGGCTTCTCCTGTGCTGCTGCGGTCTATCTGCACTGAACGCACTAGCTCCCGGGCCGGGTCTGGAAAGCTCTCGGTCACGGACAACTCTCACCCTACAGATCCGGGCCTCTCACATCTTGTTGTGCGCTGCGATCCCCAGAATCTGTGAAAACGCGGATGCCGCTACAGCCCGCGTCTGTGCGTCTGGGATGACGTGGGGCCCGAGTTCCGCTCCTGGGTGATGCCGGCGCACACAGCCAAGAGTAAACTCTGCGACAGCGCCCCCCACCTCACGGCGTAGGAGGCGCCCGGGGCTGGCGCTCCGCACGCACTCAGTGCTACGCTCGGTGGCGCCACTTCAGCGGAGGCAGAACCAATCCCGGCGGTCATTCCACTTACCCAGAATTCCTGCAGCTCTGTCAGATGGCTGACGTTTTCAATCTTTTTGATTCTGTTTGATGCAATGTCCAACATCGTGAGTTTGTTCTAAAATAAGGAAATAAGATTGTTCTTGGATTACCTCAGTTCAATAATGTGTGACCACACACATGCTGTTGGGCGCCGTGCTCACGGCCGTGGGGCGAGCCACCCTCCCTACCCTCAAGGAACAGGAGCAGGCTAACAGGACGGGGTCACCTGCCACTCCCTGCGGCCCACCCGTTCTACTCGCACACAGACCCTCACCACCACCTCGGCAGAGCCCCCGTTAACACTGGCATCTGACAGTCTCTGCCACAGGCTCCCAGACTCCCGTCTACAAGGATCGGTGTCCCAGTGGGCTGTGTAGTCCTAGGAAGAGCAGAGTGACACCTCCCTAGAAGCAGGGGAGGCCTGGGGCTCCGGAGGCTGCATGGGGGCATCTGGTGTGGGCCCCGAAGAAGGGGTAACCACTGTAGCAACATCTATTTAGTTTCTGTTGAGGACACGAACGATATATCAAAAGGAATCCTCAGAACGGTATTTTTGTTTTCAACAACATCTGCTTTAGCGTGTATCCCACAACCCCCTCTCCTAAGAATGCCCAGCAGATACGGTTTTTCTAACACATATGAGCTAAGCCTGAGTAATATTTTTTTAAAGTTCAGGGTTTAAAGATTTAACAGAGTTGAATAACATTGTAGTAAAAACGAAGTCTGTTAAAGCTCCCGCCGCTTGCTGAAGTATGTGGAATCAAACCAGTTGGCGAAGTTTTTCTAAAATCAAAAAGGAAACATTTAGAAGTTGGTTCACAGCCGCCCAAAGAAGTCCATTCCCTTCTTGTCTGCCCATTTCTCACTGTGGATTCCTTCCTACATTTTCTACTGTATTTGTGGGATTCCGAGTCCTGGTCCTCCCAAGTTTTAAGGGAAGGTTAAAAACCGTCTCAATAAAATAAAAAGAAATCCACGAACACACACAGAAGCCCCCAGCCAGCGGCGGTGCTGACTCAGAGCGCTCTGGTCCTGGTCTCGGATTCCTCGAGGGCCCGCCGCCCATCCCGCACCCACGTCACCCAGTAAGAGCACTGGCCAGTCAGTTTCCAGGAAGCTACATGGTGCCACGTCAGGTCACATGCAAGCTGGGCACGGGCACGCAGATGAGCAGCTCCTCTGAGTAGCTGGTGTTGGGCACGTCGTGTGTGCTCAGACTGCCACGCGACTGCAGTGTGCCAGGAGGCTCCTGCCTATGGGAGCCGGGGGGCGGTTGGTGGGACCGCAGCAAGCGGGGACTTAGGAGAACTCGGCAGAAGAGGGCCGGGTCCTCCACGGCGGTGGTCTCTGGCCCTCTGACCCCATCCTGCAGTGCTCGGTGTCACGGGGTGCACACGAGGAGACACACGACAGGCCGATGACGGTGCGGGCCCCGTCCAAGGGCGTAGCACCAGGGGCATCACGGTGCACAGCACTGGCGCAGGGACTCAGTTATGTGTTCGACACTGTCTTGTTTTTTCTGGGGAGCTGGACAGTGTTTTGAAAGCTCATCCAAAAGCAAACCAGTGAGAGCTACTCAAAAAAATAAAAAAATAAAAAAATAAAGAGAGGAACCGGGCAGGGTGGGAGCGAGCACAGCACATGGGGTCACACACAAGTGCTGCGGTCACGGCGCCAGAGAGCAGCGGGTGAGAGGTTGCCAGCGCCCGAAAACCCAGCGCCCAGGAGCAGACACAGAGGTCGGGGAGTGCCCGAATGCTGGGCAAGGCGTCTGTGGTGCTGGGACGGGGGATTTGCCATTTGGGAAAAACATACACTCAATTCTTTACTTCCCACAACAAAAATAACTTCCAGATAAACTGAGAGAGAAAATACAGACAAGTATTTGACCTCCAACTGAACGAAGCCGGAGCAGACTGTCACACTGGACCTTGATAAATATTCTAATTACATAATTACCTTCAAAACCACAACCGTTTTTTTTTTTTTTCTGTTTTGTTGCAGAGGCCCAAGAATGATCTGGAGTTCAACCCTGACCACAGTGCCCACTGCTGCGGGTAAAATTCTAAGCTCTAGCTTCTCTCCTGCTGGCCCAGGGACATGCCACTCTGTCGGCCCTGTTGCAGACACACTTCCCCCACCCTGGGGAGACCTGGGAGTTGGGGAGACCCCCAGCTCTCCACGATCGTGGGCCCCGCAGGCTGGTCATTGCGCGGGGTCGGCACACCCTGCCAGCTCTGATGCCATGGCCTCCGCACACAGTCCCACGTCTCGGAACCGAGCCTCCAGCTACCACCCTGCGCTGCCTGAGTGTACAGCTGGTTTACACAGCAGGTTGGTAAACTCTGAACTTGACTGCAAGGCGGAGGAAGACAACTAAACTTACCAGAGGCCCATTCTGCCTTGTCTAAAATTTGGTAAAAGGAAATTCAGAATGTGGCGTTCCCTCTAAGACGTTACTAACGGTGGCCAGGCCCAGGGGCTGAGGCCAACGGAGCCTTTACTAAGAATGAAACGCTGTGTTTACGGTAACAAAAGTGACCAATACGGTTACCTTTGCTAAAAATAAAACAGAAAAAAAAAAAGCTCAGTAAAACTGAATGAGAAAAAGTATTTTATTTGTCTTGAGAATCGCAGTGAGGAAAAGCAGGCTTGCCCGCAGGCAGCTGAAAAGGGCCGGGGCCAGCGCTGGCCCGCCTCCCCGCTCAGCGCATCTAAGGCTGTCCTGTGCTGAGTGAGATCGGGGCCGTCCGTGGGAGGCGGACAGGCCCTCCCTAGCCTCACGAGGGCTGGTGAAAAGCAGGGAGGAGCAGGAAACGCGCAGGAGCTCAGCTCAGAGCAGCTGAGACCTGGAGGCCCCCGTGGCCCCCGTGTGCCAAAAGGCTGCTGCCACGGAGTACGGCGGCCAGAATGGAGGGGGAGAGACGGCAGCCAGCACCTGCCAGCCCTCTGCAGCACGGGGCACCTAGGAACGCGCGGGGTCTGTGTTCCAAAATTCTTCCCAAATGGCTGCGGTGCCGCCGGTGACTGTATGGTGCGCACGGCATGCAGCGCCAGCTCCGTGCTCCCCCAAGGGGAGGGGGAGCACTGTGTGTGTTTTATGCACGTGCTAGTGTGAAGACGGAGCTCTCCGTTTTCAGACTTGGAAGGTCTCTACCACGAGCCCCTCGAGGCAGCGAGTCTTCTTCCGACCAGGCCTAGGCTGGCGGCTGCCCGGTCCCCATGCCCATACCGCCCCGGACCAGCAGATGTCTTACATTGTTCTCCAGGCCCTCGATGACCTCGATGCCATTGTGGCTCAGGTACAGCTCTCGAAGGTTCACCAGGCTCTGCAGACCTTCCATCTTGGTCAGCCGGTTGCTCTGTGACAGGGAGAGCAACAACCATCAGGATAGCACGGAGGGCACGGAACAAACGGCTTTTAGGAAAGGAGGGCTCTCCTCCTGAGGAGCTGACACTTTAAGCGCGCTGGGTGGGAACTCACAGAGAACGAGATCAAAATTTTGAGGCTGTTGCACTGGCTAGAACGCGTGTGTGAAGGCTGGGGGCTTTTAGGCGAGGAATTCACTCTCTTAGGTGTGCCCGGGGAAGGCCTACCCCAGTTAATTCAGTAATTCAAAAATGTCAAATATACGAATGCTGTAAAATAAATCACTTCTCATTTCTTTCAGGACATACTGTAACTCAAACTCACGTACAAGGCCCTCCTTTTTTAAGAGTCTGCACAATGTCTGCTTCACAAAAGGCACAGGTGGTTTTGGTGGACCTGCCGCAGCCAGAATGCCCTCCTGCACCTCACCTCGAGGGTCCGGTTCCACTCATTCGCTTCCAGCAGAAGAGGCAGCCTGCACCTGAACCTGGGCATGCTTGCCAGTCCCTCCCAGGGCTGTGCTCTCTGTGCGGGTGTGCAAGGAGTGCTCCCACCACTGAGCCCGACACTCCAGGAGGCTTGAGGGCATGCACACGCAGCCTTCTCAAGAAGCCCCCCTTGGCTAGAGACCGCCCAGGGAGGGAACTTTTAGCTGTGTGTGCATATAACACACACGTACGTCTAAGTCTCTGAAACCTAACGTTTCGGTTGCTCACTGGTGGTAAAAGTAGCATCGATCCCGGACGCGGTGGCAGACAAAGGTGAAGGCTGTTCGGCAGCGGTGCGCCGGCCGGGGCTTGGCCAGATGGGAGCAAAGGTGGGTCAGTACCTGCATACTGAGGACCGTCAGGTTGGTAAGTGCGTCCAGGTTCTGAAGTTTAGTGATCTTGTTCTTCCCCAAAAACAAACTCTCCAAACTGGTTAACGTGTCAATATTTTCAATTGCCTACGAAAAAGACAGAGAAGCAGTTAGCACTGTGTGGCTGACCAGCGAGACTGGAGAGGGAAAGGTGCCGGGAGAGGAGATACAGCTATCTGGACTTGAGCCCTGGGACGTGGGCAATTTACTTATCCACTCGGGAAATTCTCCCATGAAGTCTCACTTGAAAGTACAGAATGCGAAAAGGTGGCGAGTCCAAGGCCTTGTCTCCTGGGTGCCCCCCACCCCCAGAGCTCAAGGTCAGGGGACACAGTTTGAAACCCACAGATGAGGACATTTCTCAAGTCCCTCTCAGTGCTGAAGTTGAGTCGATAGGTTGTTGTCATCCCACGTAGGGTTCCTTACGATGCATTCCAAGAGCTTAGGTCTCCCCAGAAGCAGCTCTGACCTTGGGATGCCACCCAGGATTCCTGAGAGCAGGCGCCTCTGTTCCATGGCTTTCTGTCCCCTGCCTCAGTTTCCACAACCCTCCCCCCTTGCCAGCATCCTGTGCTCCTCTATTCACTGTAAATTCCAGGGCCCTGCGGAGAGCAGGCATTCTAGCAAGCACTGACTGCCTGGACCGGTTTCCCTCCTCCTGAGTTCACTGCCAGCTTTTCCCGTAGACACTGAATGAGCAGTGGGTGCAGACCGCACCCCCCCTTGCACCTCACAGCGGGACTTGGGGGGCTCAGGGGGTGCTTATGAGGGGGGAGGATCCAGGGGGATGGATCCTTAGCTGCTCCTGCCTGCACAGAGCAGGAGGATCCTGCCAGCTGCTCCTGGCTCCTGGGCCACCATGCTGCCTACAAACATTCTACAGAGATATACTTGATATAAAGGGCTGACATCTGGGCCACTCTTTAGTTTTAAACATGGTGCTCTGATATGGGGGCCATGTCCCTGCTAACAACCGTCACAAGAGGCCCTCCTTGGTTTGCACCCTGCCCAGCTCTCCAGGGCCAAGTGGGATGGATCACAGTGTGCCGTAGACACAAAGCCAGTCACAGGGCTACTCCCAACACAGAGGCAGGTGAAGAAGTGCTTGGAAACACCAGCTCTTAGTTGCTCAACAAGGCCAGTGGGAAGCCCCGGGCTCGGTAGCATGGTTTCACTGGGATGTGGGGTGAGCACTGAGGGGTCTTCTGGCTGGCAGGTACCCTCACACGTCCTGGTGACCCTTCCCCTTCTCTGCTGGTAGCCCCCCCCCCCCCACCACGTCAGTCCTTCTGTGACCCCATCTGTGGCTCCCACCACGGGCAGTGCCCAGCACCCATGAGTCAGGTGGGTAAAGGACTGCTCCTATAGCACCCCAGACCGTTTTCCCAAAGCGTCTCCTGCCTGCTCTGCCCAGTGCTCCCAGAGGTCAGGGCCTGGTAAATGGCGCGATGTTAGGCTGCCATGGGGCGTGTTCCGCTGGTACGCGGCTGTCCAGGGAGGATGGGCCGGCCAAGCACCCGAAGGTGCAATGTGCCTCCTACGGCCCCCGTGTGGAGGTCAGGTCACTGCAAGCCACCACTCTGCTGTGCTTGGGGCACTGTCACCTCAGAGAGGCCCACCAAAGAACACAGCCTCAGCAACTCAAAAGCAAAGTGTTTGGGGCTGACCCGTTCACCTGGGGCAGAACGTCACAGGGACGCTTTGCTAAGGTTAGGTCGTGACCTGGATGCAGAGCAAGTGAGAGACACGCACAGAAGGGCCAGACCGAGTGGTGTGAGCGCACGCTCTTGTGAACACTGACCTGCAGTTGGCACTTTTCTCCTGGAAAATAAAATCATATGGTATGAAACCCACAGCCAAACACACATCTTGAAACTGCCACCGCCAGCCGCACCCCACACCTACCCGGATGCGGTTGGACCCCAGCTCCAGCATCTGCAGCTGGTGTAAGCTGCTTATGTTCTCGATTTTACTGATTTTGTTGTTAACCAGGAAGAGCTTCTTCAGTCGTGTCAGCTTGTCAACTCCTTCAATGTTCCTCAGCAGATTAAAAGAAATATCTAGAATCCTGGGACAAGCAGAGCATTAATTTTTTAATAAGAACAGGTGGAATAGAGCTCTGAATGCAACCAACCTAAAGGCACCGCCCCACCCGGTGGGCCAGGCACCACCCAGCAGCCCACCCCGACTCTCCAGGCGCCCCGACGGCAGCAATCGCGCCGGCCCCTAGATGGACCGGCCTGGAGTCTGCAACCAAAGGTTTAACCTGCAGGTTGGGACTGTGGGCAAGCCAACGCCACCCATGGAGACAGGCGCTGGCTGGGACCCTGTGGCAAAGGTGGCCCTTCAGGACTGAGCATGGGGCCCAGGGCAGTTCTGGGGAGACTGGACAGGCCCCTCAGCCGTCCCCTGGACTCATGACTCACTCCAACTGTGTTAGCGCCTCCAGATTCTCAATCTTCTTGATTTGGTTGTCATAAAGGTCCAGCTCTCGAAGACTCTGTAACTCCTCCAGATTTTCAATGCATTTAATTAAATTTTGACGGAGGCAAAGACTCTGAGGGATGAAAAAGGACAGGTGACATGTGACATAGGCAGCAGGGAGGTCACGAGGAAGTGCCAACTGTGTTACAGGACAAACCTTCCGTGGGACAGGGAATGCGGTTTTCATCCTTCTGTTGTTTTCTAGAAATGTCCCCACCTTGGAGAGGATGGGCAGATACCCAAAGGGAGTCTGGAGGCAGGCCCCGCATGGAGTGCACCTCCTCGGTGAGGGGGTCGTTGGCCAGGTATTGCATTGGCCAACCTCTGAAGGGCTTGAATTTGAACAAACTTAACTGAAATGAGCTGAGGACTACATAGGCTGGGGTGTGCTGAACGGCAGGCAGGCCCTGCCCTGGACCACTGCCAGGCATCAGGAAGAGCCCATCGGCCTCTGTAAACCCGGCCACGCTTAGGATACAAGTGCTGATGTCAGTTCCGGACAGAGCCTAGCCCCTTCTGCAGAACCGAGTCTCAGTGATGCACGTGCCTGTGTCCCTTGGGTAGGACAGGCTCCGGGATGCGTGTGTCCCCAGGAGACAAAGGACAGAGCCCCTCATACCTTTACTTTCTTCAGCACCTCAAATCCCTCGATTTTCCCAATGCGGTAGTGGTTCAGATCAACGTCCTGAAACAAAGAAGAAATCCGGCTCAGCTGCCTGAAGACCCGTGTCCTGGACTAGGACCAAAGGAGGCCGGCCTGGCGGGCGGAGGGGCGGGCAAGGAAGGGCTGGTGAGCCTGCAGCGGACCGGCCACAGCAACATGCAGGAGCACTGTGAGACATTCCTCAGCAGTTTTACAAAACAATGAGCAGTACGTAAAGCCCCTCTCTCATCCCGCAGCAGCCCCGTGGGCAGGAGCTGTGATGAGTCTGCCCTCCCTGGCGGTCTCCTGCACACTGAGCTGTTGACGCTCAGTGTGTTTCAGATGCCGGGATGGCCAGGACCCCCACGACTTACAAAGTCGTCACCTGACCCACCGGTGGCATTTAGGAGCCAAGGGCGTTTCGTCTGCTGCCCAGCCCTCTGGTCACACAGAAATGGGTTTCAGTCACGGGTATTAAAAACAAGGACAGAAAGAATCTGACCCAACCAAGGGGACTCAGACGACCTCGCCTAGGGTAATCACTTACTAATCCAGCACCTCCATAGAAGATACCCTGACGGCCAGAGTGGTCCGTCACCAGGCCCCCTGAGGCTGGCTCCAGCAGGTGGCATTACCTCTGCATCTCTGTCCAGGTTAATGGTTTCCATATCCACGGGCAGCTCTTGTCCTTCTGAAAAAATAAGGAAAAAAGCCCATTCAGAGCTCGAATGTCAGTGGAGCTGGGACTCAGGCTGCCTGGCTCACAGAGCTGAATCAGTGCAGAGGAGACGCCAATGGGTGGTGCGGGGGCCCTGGATGGTGTGGCCGGCTTAACACCAGTTCCGATAATGGTCACCATTCAAGCATTCTGACTTTTCTGAATTAGGTGGCTGGCAAAAGTCTCCAAATTTCCATCTGTGCCAGTGAACTTGCCAGGGAAGGAAATGTAGTCTGAAGCTGCTTGCAGGGAGGACGGTGGCGGGGGGACGGGGGTGGGGGTGGTGGCTGCCCAGAGCTGCACAGCTGGCAGCAGCCTGCTCTTCCCTGACCTTTCCTTTCTCGTCTGTGGCCACATGTCAGACCATCTGAATATGGATCATGCTGGGCATGTCAGATGTGCTAGGATGTGCCTTTTATTGCTTTGGAAAGTGGCCTGGTATCTCTAAATGCTTGTCTGCCAAGAGGAAAACCCAACAGAGCACAGCTCAACAGACGGACCGGAGAGCCCTAACAAGGGAAACACGCTTTTCCCCCACTGGGGGCCCGGCCCGGCAGAAGGCCAGCCCACCCCGGTGCCCGAGGAGCGCCCCAAGAAGCCCTCTTCGTTTCCTCTGAACTGCAGAAGCATGCATGTCTGCAAGGATTCGATGCTTTAAAACAGTAACAGTCGTTCTTTGATTTCATCAATTGTCTTACGATTCCCCCCATTCCCCTCCCCCCCGCCCCGTCTGCTTTTATTAGGATCTGAATAAGGGCATATATTGTGACTGGATGACATTTCTCTAATGTCCCTTTCCGCTCTTGCAATTTTTGGCTGAAGAAACTGGGCCGCCTGGCTGTGACACTCCTGTGGGAGTGTGTCACCTCCGCTCTCCCAGATCTCCCGCAAATCGGTCGTTCCCAGTGCTGTCCTGCCCGGCTCCTACCGCCGCCTCTGCCCTGTGGGGGAGCTGTGCTGGCTTCTGTGGTGGCTCACGGCTGTAGCCCTCAGGCCTCCCAAGGACCAAGGCCGGAGGTCCATCTGCTGCTCAGTCCGGCCCCTTGACTGGAGGCAGCAGAGAGGTGCACACCACTCGGACCGGACCCAGCAGCGTAAGCACCGGCTGAGTTCAGATTCCTAACTGTGCCTGTTCCACAACAATCCACAGCGGCCAGTTCAAAAGTATGTCGTTTAGTATGGTTTGTCATTTACTAGAGTTTTTTTTTCACTTTTAGCAAAAACTCTGTAAAAAAAAAAAAAGTCTTTTCATTTTCTATTCTTAGCACAAATTTTAATTCTTCCCAGTAGAACTCAAACGTCTTGAACTCCTTTCAGAGTTTTCCAAAACCTGAACTTCCTCTACGTCTGGATAAAAAAATCCATTCACAAATGAGCCGTGCAATCCGATCACCCTTTTTGACTTTGAACTTTTCTTTGCCAAAATTAAATCGTACAACAGCCACGCTTCCTCTATAATCTTCACCCGTGACGCCAGCTTCTACATCTATGAAGTGCTTCGCAGCTAAGCCAGAATGGCGAGCTACCCTTCCACGGCACCCGGAAGCAAGAGTGTTTCCACAAGGGTTTTCTCCACAGGTGGCACTGTATAATCACGGGCACTGCACAGGTCGTAGGTCGTAGCCCGCAGCCCGCGCAGACCCCTCGGTCAAAGCGGTGGCGTGCTCCGAGGGCAGGACGAAGCAGAGCCTCGCAGTGTCCTCCGCAGGCCGAGCCCGCTTGCTGGGGGAGATGGTGCGTATGCCACCTCAGTGCAGGGTGTGGCAGAGCAGAACGTGAGAAAAGACAGCAGCACAGGGGGCAAGTGGAGCCAGAGTCACTTGCTGTAACTTTAGAGGATGTCAACCAACCTGGGAACGAAGTAGAAGGAGTTGGGCAAAACCAAGAGAAATAGCCAAATTACCCCTCAGCCCAAGGCAGCACAAATGCAGTGTCCACGAACTCAGGAAGCTGCAACAAAGGCAGGTGTCCAGGCCACCCAGTGTCCAAAGCAGGGCGCCAGGAGAGTCCAGGGCGGGTGCAGACAATGGAGAAGGGCCCGTGGGTGGACACCGGGCCCGGGCTCTCCTCAGGACAGGTGCTCACCCAGCGTAAAGTGCTTCTGTCTGTCCATCCAGCACATAGGGCAGGCCCCTCAAAACATCAGCTTAACCTCTGAAACAGTTGCCAGCCTAGAATGTTTTCCCAAATGTACCATGTATTTATTTATCTTTTGGAAAAAAAAAAAAAAAAAAAAAAGCTAGGGAAAATAAGTGAAAGGTAACAGTCGACATGTTTGAATTTGTTTTATTTGAACTTAGCACTTAGACAAATACAAGTGGGAGTGAGTCCTGGTTTCTCTTAAGGACTCATAAAAATGTATATTCCCAGAGTGCTTCTAATCAGCCAGCGGTCTGGAGGAAGGAACTCTGGACTTGACAAGCTGCGCTCAAGTCCAGCTCCTCTACTCTGTCACCACGAGCCCTTGGGCAGGCCACAGGGAGCAGGTCTCACCACCCAGGGAGAGGAGCCCCATGACAGGGCCCCACCGCCTCTCCGGTTCTCCACGAGCGCCAGGTGTTCAGACGCCGAGAGCAGGCGACGCTCCCACTCTCTCGGTCGTCTGTGACTCAGTTAAGACGGTAACGAAAGCTCTCATCCATCACTCCCGTGTACTTATTCCACCCACATCACTTCCAGAATATCGACTCTGGCATTCCAAAGTAAACGTGGCTGATACTTTCATGGTAATCTCCTTTTGCCTTAAAATTAGGTTGCCATAGTTACCAATCATCCTCACTGGCACAGAGCACAATGTTATTTTAAAAATTAGTCTTGTTTTCTTATTGTGTTTTCTTGTTATCATAAGGGTAGTACATGACTATTAACACCTTAGAAGTCCACACATTGTATATAAATCTAGAAAACGCAGAAAGTACAAGACCCTCTCACACCTGCTGTTCAGAGACCCTCAACTGAAACTTGATGTGTTTTCTCTGTTAAGTATGTTAAAACTTACATATTACTAATATTTTTAACAATAAAATTTTAACGTGCACACTGTTTTGTAGTTTGCTACTCTCACCTAATAACATACCTTGGACATCTTTCTGTCTGCTCCTATGCTCTGTCTCACTTCTTTTTTTCTTCTTTTTTTTTTTTAATGCTTACGTAGTCTTGGGAGAGAGCGACAGGGTGCGAACAGGCGAGGGGCAGAGAGCAAGGGAGACACAGAATCCGAAGCAGGCTCTGGGCTCTCAGCTGTCAGCACAGAGACCGACGCGGGGCTTGAACTCACGATCTGAGATCATACCAGAGCCGAAGTTGGATGCTCAACCGACTGAGCCACCCGGGCGCCCGTCTCACTTCTTTTCAATGTAAATCTATTTTCTAACCAAAGATCATGGTTGGTAGGGTGAAAAACCACCCATTATGGACTGAGAATTTACTTTTCTCATCTGTAAGTTAATTTTGTTGCTGTTAATCACTAAAACAATAGGAGGCTATGGAGATAGTTTCCACCTAAGACAATTTTTCAAACATCTAGGTATCTTAGGAGTCAATTCTTGCCTGGAAGTATGGTGAAGCAGGACTCAAACGACTTCTCCAAAATACTAAGAGTGCTATTCTGAAATTAGTGTATGTTACTACGATAGGAAACAAAAGCATCATCAGCCAAAATATTTGTTTCACATCTCGCTTTCCGAATATACGGTTAATAACGCGATTTTCTGATCCTGCTCCAGATGCCACGCTGGCACCAGTAACGTTAGTAGTCGTGTTTGCCTTCCGTGCAACTCCGAAGAGATGCATCCTGCCTGCGGATGCCGTCCACAAGTCAGCTCACTAAGGGAGTACCACAGAGGGCGCACGCCCCCAGAGCACACGGCCACCAGCCCCCAGAGGGCCTCCAACGCTGCATCAGCGGAACGAGAGCTCGCCAAACGAACCCCCTCTCGCACAGCAGTCCTCCCGCCGCCCTTGCCTCCCCAACACCCACCGTGGGGTGGGTGTTGGGTGGACTGCGTGCGACATGGCCGCACCCACCCCGCCTCCCGCCCTTAGTGAGTGAAAGGCTCTTAACTCGGCCTGGTACCTTCTGGGTCTTCCTCCCCCTGCTCCTCTCCGTCCTTCAGGCTGTGCTCGCTGAGGTCTGCCACTATACCGCCGCCCTGCTTCTTCCCCTCTTCATCGCCAGACTCTTCAGATTCGACTCGCCTGTCAACTGAATGCACACACATCAGTAAGAATTCACAGCCACTTTACGTGACTTTCTGAAGAACACAGAATAGACTGATATCCAGTTGTAACTCAAAAAGACTTCATTCAGAAGCGTTCATTGAATTCAGTTCAACAAACACCTGTATTCCATTTCTTGGGCGCCACCTGCAGTGCACAGAGGTGGGGACAACTTGAGTGGGGGAAGGCAGAGCAGGGAGGACACAGGGGTCCGAAGATGAGTGACATACTGTTCCTGCCCTCGAGAAGACTGAAGATTTACCAGGTGTTCTGAAGGCCCTGGGTCATTTGTGACCGAACGTACTGACAGCGACGCAATGAAGTACCTCCTGCGCGGCTCACTTTCAGCCTGGACATCCGTGTACAGGGGACCGTGTGACCCTCCCCCCACATACCTTCATCCACGCTCCACTATCCATTTGGCCAAGAAAACCAGCCCCGTCACAGGCCCACGTTCTGAAAGAAATCAAGACTAACTCAAATCAGACTGTGGGCGGGAGGGGGGGGGGGGCTGTAATGACAAAGGAGAAGACAGCCAGTAGTGCCAACTGCCCCACATAGAGGTCACTGATGCCAAACACCAGCACACAGTGATGCCAGCCGAGAGTTCTGAAAGGCTGGTAAATAAATATTTTCTGAATTAATAAATAAGGCAATGACTAAGTATGGCAGACTGATAAAAATTCTTTGAGGAGACTGTCACATCATTTTCCTTTCTCCTAACATTTTCCATGACCTGTCTTGGAATCTGGAAGAGCTGAAACACTAATGAATTACTGGGAGTTATCAACCATACTGAAAGCATTTTCTTTCCTGCCTACGGCTTATCCACAGAGGGGTGTGCTCTTTGAGGACAGGACTTCTACTTCTCCTTTCTGTCTCCTCCTGGGCCTAGGAAAACAGTACCCAGGAAAGGACTGCTGGATAAAACCAAGTCCTTACGAAATCCAGCTCCCAAACCTCCAAATCCATTCCTTCTTCCCCAGCCTGGCAACTGCCAGGCCTCCCGACTGGTCTCTCGGTGGCTTTTCTGGCTCTGTCGAATCCATTCTGCATTGCCAGAGAATCTGATTTGATTCTAAAATCCAAATCTGATCTTTGACTCCAAGTTTCTGGAATGTCTCTGGCTCCAGCTGAGATTTCAATTTGCCCTTAGAGACATAGCGTTGGCAGGCTCTCTCCTTTCCCAGCCTCACTCTCCTCATCTGTAGAAGGCTAGTTTAGGACCCATTTACCAGAGGCGCTGTCGGGGCTAAAGTTGAAAGGGCACAAAAGCAGCAGTCAGCATGTGTGTGACACGCAGTCAACACTAAGCAAACTAGTGATCGCCAGGCACAGGGCACTCTGTGGTCATGGCGAAGGGAGAGCAAGTTCTACTGGGAGATGGGGTGGCGTGGCTGAGACCAGGGTGGCAGGGACCTAGCTAATGAAACCTGGGACTCTATCCTGAAGGCAGCAGAGGGTCTGGAGCATGGGACAGATCAGAAATATAAGGTGACTTTGGGACACTGGGAAATGGGGTGGTTCAAAGTCTTGGCAGAGGGAACGGAAGAGGTACTGAAGACTTAAGAGATATGAAGGATATAGAGTCACCAGAACTGATTAATTGGATGGCTGGGAGTGGGAGAGAGAGGATCACCTAGGTTTTGTATGTTCCTTTTACCAAGACATGGAAACAGTTGAAGAGGAAGGAGTAGACTGGGACGCAGGGAGTCGAGGAGAGCAGACAGGAAGAGGCACTTTCTTGCTTAAAAGGGTCCAAGACCCTTCACCAAGGTCCACCATGACCCTCTCTTGCCACCCTCCTCCAACAGGACTGTTATTCTTGGTCAAATTTTCTTCCAGGCAGACCGCATGCTTTTCACAGCTCTTTGCCTTTGTCTTTCTCTCTCCTGAAATGATCTTTGATCTTTCCCCAACCTGGTGATTTGTAGTTATCTGTCAAGGCTCAGCTCAGAGGTGGCTTTGGCTGGGCAGCCATCACTCCAAACAGGCCAGCTCCTCGTCGCACCCCGCCTCCCGTCTTACCTACTAGTTTACACATCAGACAGTAGCTGCTCTTCTGGAGCTCTGACCTCATCCCCACTTCCCCTCCAAACCAGCAGAGCCCAAAGCATATAAGCACTAGGAAAACATGACTGACTCTCCAACTGCTGTGTGTATATAACTATACGCACACGCAATATGCATGTGATTTTTTTCAACAAAGCTAAGGAGGTGAATTTAGTCTTTTGGGAACTAGAATAGTTTTTAAACCAGGCATCCCCTCTGCCGAACTCAACCTCTCGGCTCCTTGCCACCCGTTCCCCACAACACATTTGCTTAAGAGAGGACTCTTCTCCACCTCCACCACGTTCACCCACGAGCCCGCTGGGGCAGGTCCCATGGGGCCGTGCGCCTTACTTTTCCAGGTAGTTGCCCAAGGGACCGACCCCATGGGCCAGGTTCAGAGAGAGGTTCGGTACGAGGCTCCCGCCAGCTGGTGGACGCCGGGGCTGTCGAACCACCGCGTCGTCAGTCCCCACCCACTCTACTGCGCCGCCGCTCTCCCCTCCCACCGGCCGTGGGTCCGGCGCCTCCTGGCCGCCAGCGCCTTCCTGACTGCCGCAGTCTCGGCCCGGGGTCCCGGGGTCCCGGGCCGCCCCTGCCCCGCGGAGCCGGCTGGCAGCTGTCAGGGCGCGCGGCGGGGCCCAGGCCACGGCTAGAGGCGGGAAGTCCCGTTTTTCTCAGGCAGGACCGGCGCGGGCCGCTGCCTCCCCGCCCGCGGGGCCCTTGGGCCGCCGCCCCACGCAGCCACTCACCCTCCATCATCTCCTGCGACTGTTGCTGGCCCGCGCCGCGTTCCGCCGCCATGTTGGCTGCTCTTCCCCTTTCCGGAATCTGTCGCCTCAGGCCCCTCAGCCAATCAGGGCTCCCGACTCAGTGCTGCTCAGCCAATGGAATCCCACCCCAGGTTTGAACCCCCCGACGCGCCTGCGCAGCCTCCGCGCCTCATGGGAGTTGTAGTCCACTCGCGAGGCCATGCGGGCCTCAGCCCCAGGAGTAGCCAGCCTCACCTCCCAGGGACAGGTAATCTGAGAGCGCACCGGAGGCTTCTGGAGGCGAGGAGCGGGGAAGAAGACAGGGGCGGTCGGGGCCTCATGCACGGAGCCGTGGCTGAAGGCGAGCGGAGAGAAGAATCTGGGAAATGCTTGGGGCTCATCGAGGGTCTCTGCGTGGGGCTGCAAAGTGCGGGCCAGTCGAGGGCGTGCCGGCCCCTCCGGGGCTCAGAGGTTGCGTCTGTACAGTGGCCAATTTCGTCCCGAAGTCGCCTCGCGGATTTAGTCCGTGTGAAGGGATGGCCTCCAGTTAACGCTCAGCGCAGGGCGCCCGCTCTCGTGCCGGAGTCGGAGCCGAGGCCAGGGGCCGGGGCCCGAGCACCGGGGGCCAGCTCCACCCGCAGGTGCGGGGACAGCCTCTCGGCGGTCCAGGACGTCGACCCAGCCCACTGTGAGACGCAGCCTCTGTCGGTCCCTCGGTCCCTCGGCCCCTCGGGCGTGCGTGGCCCGTGAGGGATCCCCCCCGCGCCCCCCACCTCCGAGGCCGCAGAGAGGCGAGCTGCGCACTGCTCACCCTTCCGGATTCGGAGACCCGAGGAAACGGTGTCGGTCAGACCCCGCGGGCGGAGGCGCCGTCTTTTTTGGCTCCTCCGAGGCGCCGTAAAGGGAGTCCGGTGCGTCCCTAGCAACCGTTAGCGCCGGCTTCCCCGCGCAAGCTCGCCGAGTCCCGCCCACAAGCACTCGTGGTTGGCTCGTAAGGCCTGTCAATCGGCACGAGTCGTTCTGCGATTGGCCGGTGGGGCCGGAGGCGAGGATGCGCTCCTTCCCGGCGGGTGAAGCGAACTTGGCTGGGAGACCCTGGCAGGCCCCAGGTGAGATGCCTGCACTGGAGAGAGCCGGCCCGCGACCCGCTGGCTCCTGGCGCGGCCCGTGGACGAGCCGCTCCCGAGCCCTGCGTCCCCTTCGCGTGGCTGCGGCTGGTGGTGGCCCGCTGCCGCCTTGCCGCCGTTTGCGGCGCCCTGGGGCCCTAGGGCCCTGGGACCCGGCTGGGGCCTAACCCCACCGGCGCGCCGTCCACCCCGGAGTTGGCCGCGAGTGTTTTGTTTACCTCGGGTTGCCTGTTCCCCCTTCTGGATGGCGAGTCCGGGAGAACAGGGGCCGCCTCCTGCTCTCGGCTGCTCTCCAGCGTCGAGAACAGTGCCTGCCAGCGGGTATTTGTGGCATGAACGCCCACTGCTTCCCCCATCTCCATTTGGGTGTCGCGTACAAACCTGGCTTTATCCTGAACCTTGTCTTCACCGGCTTTTCTTTTCCCAGAGCATGGCAGCGGCCTGAGCGGGAAACTTGGGATGCCGTCTTGATGCCTTTCCTTCTGTGCTCATCACCCAGTGTATCTAGGTCAGTTCTGTGCCAAGTTTTGTCTGTGTGTTCCTGTCTCCATCTTTCTGCCACTGCTTTGTTGTATTTTTTTAAATTTTTTTTATTTTTTCACTTTACACATGCAACTTTATTTTTTTTTCAATGTATGAAATTTATTGTCAAATTGGTTTCCATACAACACCCAGTGCTCGTCCCCAAAGTGCCCTCCTCAATACCCATCACCCACCCACCCCTCCCTCCCACCCCCATCAACCCTCAGTTTGTTCTCAGTTTTTAAGAGTCTCTTATGCTTTGGCTCTCTCCCACTCTAACCTCTTTTTTTTTTCCTTCCCCTCCCCCATGGGTTTCTGTTAAGTTTCTCAGGATCCACATAAGAGTGAAAACATATGGTATCTGTCTTTCTCTGTATGGCTTGTTTCACTTAGCATCACACTCTCCAGTTCCATCCATGTTGCTACAAAGGGCCATATTTCATTCTTATTGCCACGTAGTACTCCATTGTGTATATAAACCACAATTTCTTTATCCATTCGTCACTTGGTGGACATTTCGGCTCTTTCCACAATTTGGCTATTGTTGAGAGTGCTGCTATGAACATTGGGGTACAAGTGCCCCTCTGCATCAGTACTCCTGTATCCCTTGGGTAAATTCCTAGCAGTGCTATTGGTGGGTCATAGGGTAGGTATATTTTTAATTTTTTGAGGAAACTCCACACTGTTTTCCAGAGTGGCTGTACCAGTTTGCATTCCCACCAACAGTGAAAGAGGGTTCCCATTTCTCCACATCCTCTCCAGCATCTATAGTCTCCTGATTTGTTCATTTTGGCCACTCTGACTGGCGTGAGGTGATATCTGAGTGTGGTTTTGATTTGTATTTCCCTGATGAGGAGCGACATTGAGCATCTTTTCGTGTGCCTGTTGGCCATCCGGATGTCTTCTTTAAAGAAGTGTCTATTCATGTGTTCTGCCCATTTCTTCACTGGGTTATTTGCTTTTCGGGTGTGGAGTTTGGTGAGCTCTTTATAGATTTTGGATACTAGCCCTTTGTCCGATATGTCATTTGCAAATATCTTTTCCCATTCCGTTAGTTGCCTTTTAGTTTTGTTGGTTGTTTCCTTTGCTGTGCAGAAGCTTTTTATCTTCATAAGGTCCCAGTAGTTCATTTTTGCTTTTAATTCCCTTGCCTTTGGGGATGTGTCAAGTAAGAAATTGCTACGGCTGAGGTCAGAGACGTCTTTTCCTGCTTTCTCCTCTAGGGTTTTGATGATTTCCTGTCTCACATTCAGGTCCTTTATCCATTTTGAGTTTATTTTTGTGAATGGTGTGAGAAAGTGGTTTAGTTTCAACCTTCTGCATGTTGCTGTCCAGTTCTCTCAGCACCATTTATTAAAGAGACTGTCTTTTTTCCATTGGATGTTCTTTCCTGCTTTGTCAAAGATTAGTTGGCCATACGTTTGTGGGTATTAGTTCTGGGGTTTCTATTCTATTCCATTGGTCTATGTGTCTGTTTTTGTGCCAATACCATGCTGTCTTGATGATTACAGCTTTGTAGTAGAGGCTAAAGTCTGTGATTGTGATGCCTCCTGCTTTGGTGGTCTTCTTCAAAGTTACTTTGGCTATTAGGGGCCTTTTGTGGTTCCATATCAATTTTAGGATTGCTTATTCTAGTTTCGAGAAGAATGCTGGTACAATTTTGATTGGGATTGCATTGAATGTGTAGATAGCTTTGGGTAGTATTGACGTTTTGACAATATTTATTCTTCCAATCCATGAGCATGGAATGTTTTTCCATTTCTTTATATCTTCTTCAATTTCCTTCATAAGCTTTCTATAGTTTTCAGCATACAGATCTTTTACATCTTTGGTTAGATTTATCCCTAGGTATTTTATGCTTCTTGGTGCAATTGTGAATGGGATCAGTTTCCTTATTTGTCTTTCTGTTACTTCATTGTTAGTGTATAAGAATGCAACTGATTTCTGTACATTGATTTTGTATCCTGCAACTTTGCTGGATTCATGTATCAGTTCTAGCAGACTTTTGGTGGAGTCTATCGGATTTTCCATGTATAATATCATGTCATCTGCAAAAAGTGAAAGCTTGATTTCATCTTTGCCAATTTTGATGCCTTTGATTTCCTTTTGTTGCCTGATTGCTGATGCTAGAACTCTCAACACTATGTTAAACAACAGCGGTGAGAGTGGACATCCCTGTCATGTTCCTGATCTCAGGGAAAAAGCTCTCAGTTTTTCCCCATTGAGGATGATGTTAGCTGTGGGCTTTTCATAAATGGCTTTTATGATGTTTAAGTATGTTCCTTCTATCCCGACTTTCTCGAGGGTTTTTATTAAGAAAGTTGCTGAATTTTGTCAAAGGCCTTTTCTGCATCGATTGATAGGATCATATGGTTCTTTTCTTTTATTAATGTGATGTATCACACTGATTGATTTGCTAATGTTGAACCAGCCCTGCATCCCAGGAATGAATCCCACTTGATCATGGTGAATAATTCTTTTTATATGTTGTTGAATTCAATTTGCTAGTATCTTATTGAGAATTTTTGCATCCATATTCATCAGGGATACTGGCCTGTAGTTCTCTTTTTTTAATGGGTCTCTGTCTGGTTTAGGAATCAAAGTAATACTGGCTTCATAGAATGAGTCTGGAAGTTTTCCTTCCCTTTCTATTTTTTGGAATAGCTTGAGAAGGATAGGTATTATCTCTGCTTTAAACGTCTGGTAGAACTCCCCTGGGAAGCCATCTGGTCCTGGACTCTTATTTGTTGGGAGATTTTTTTTTTTTTTTTTTTTGGAGATTTTTT